AACTTCGCAAGAGCATATCGCAAACTGAATAAGACATTCGAATCCCGTCTCAGCCTCCAGCAGACTTTGGACCATCAGGCGAGGAGTCTGTCCAGCAGTCCAATCCGACACGCGAACTCGAACACGGGGCGTGAGCTCATTCTCCGGGAATCGAGTCCACTTGATCGATCCTCTCATGCTACGTCCCATGACCAGGATGAAGAGGAGGAGGAGGAGGAGAGCGATGAAGTCTCAGAGACCCTGAACCACAATGCTCACGCCGATCGTGCTTCGATTGGTGGTGACGAAATATCAACTTCGGACTCCGAATCAAGTTCCAACGGTGCAACATCTGAGTCTGATGAGGAGATGGGCAATGCTTCCGGAAATGATACAGTGGCCTCTACTTCCGATGACGAAACCGATAGCGAATCAAGTGAAGCGGGAAACGGTGGGCCTATTGTGGACGAAGACAATTCAGACTCGGCCGACGAAGAAGCCTCGAGCTCAGACGACGATTCGAGCTCCGACAATTCATCTAGCGATGAGTCAAGTGTGGCATCTGCGAAAGAGCGGTTTTCCGCAAAACAGGCTGCGATCGTTGAGGTCTCATCCGATTCGTCGTCAGGTTCATCTTCAGACGACAGCAGCAGCGAAGATTCTAGCTCGGATTCCGAACCTGAGGAGCTTCCCAGCAAGACCCTCTCTACCCAACGGATTCTTTTTGAATCCAACGAAACTCTGGAGCTGCCACAAAAAGCACCAGTCGCTGCAGCTCAGGCAAAGCAAGAGCAGCCCGACGTGCCTCCTGGTCAGGGATTGAGCAAGACGCAAAAAAGGAATGCGAGGCGCAAACTTGCTAAGAAAATGGCCGGCCAGAAGAGATCCCCGTCGGCTCAGAATAGCGAAGAGTTCTCCCAAGCGGAGATGTCTGAGATGCAGGCAGCATTCTTGGCAAGGAAGCAAGCCTTACTCAACGCTATTGCATCCGACGGCCCAGCTGAGGCTAGTCAAGAGAAGTCCCTTGAGATACCCGACTCTGCACCTCAAGATGTCGAAACATCAATTGCCGATGCCGACATGATGGAGGCTCCACAAAGCCCTGCCGCGCAAGAAGCTGCCTCTCAGCGGCGCATGAAGCCTAATGTCGGGGCTGCCCGCCGCATGCTCATGGGATCTTTGGGACTCAAGAACCCGAAAAACAAGGCTGACGAAGACAAAATTCGTCAAGATCTGATGAAGGGCGTCCGACCTCACACCAACGCTCGTCTGTCAGAAGGGGCTTCCCAGCCTAGCGAATCCGCACAGACCCAAGAATCGGTAGAGGAAGATCCCGAAGCCTGGCGCGAGAAAATCGCTTACCGAGCCGTAGAATGCTGCCACGACGGAGTCGAGCTGTCCGAACCGCCCTTCCCTTTTGTCCAGCGTTGGGACCCCCAACAGCAGGTGGAAGAATGGTTCGGTTCGAAGAATAAGCGCGGGGGCAAGCGTAAGCGCGTACAGCGCGATCAAGCTCAATATCACGAAGATGCCGACTCTCAATCGTCGAAGAAGCGTCGCGTAATCGACGACAGTTTTGGTGTGACCTTCTCCGACGCGGTTGAGTCTGCGGCTCAAGAGGGAGACACGACACTCAACTACGACGATCCGTCTGACGATCCACCAGCAACCAAGAAATCAGCTGAAGAAAGCCAGGCGACGGACATTGACGACCTCCCTTCCCTCCCATCCGATCTGTCCATTCTTCTGGACCTTCGCCCAGGAGAAGCCAAACTCGGCATGGTTGTCACTTGGAAGCAACTGGTCTTGTCATCACAAACCAATTGGCAACCCCAAGTGGTGAGCTTGACCGGCGTTCTCGTCAGGATCTATGATGAGGACGCATCCGATCTTGAATTCATATTGGCTCATCGTGATCGAGGTGTTGATCGAACCGAGAAGACCTACGACGAAGAGACTGGCGAGAGAGTTTACGATCGCTTCGAGGCCCCCGATGACGACGAGGATGACGAAGATGCAGAAAACGAACTCGAAGAAGGACATCGACGCGTGAATTACCTGGAATTGATCGAGCCCAAGATTGTGCAGTTTCCTCTGGACGATAATACAAAACGAGGCGAGAACGAGAAATCGAGTACCTCGGAGGGCGAAAGTGGCCCTACAGACAGCGTCATTGACGAAACCATATACGATGATCAAAGCCGGCCATCGCAGGTTAATGGAGAAATTTCTGGTCAGTCCGAGGTGGGTGAAGTTGGAAGTCAGTCAAAAGTCGATGCAAAGGGAAGTCGAGCCAGGGCTAATATGGATAAACAACAGCCTCAAGTCGTCGCGGGTAGAACCCCCCGTCTTGATGCCGCGGATGGCGATGGGTCTAGTCAACCCGATACACACTTGGAAGGTGATGACGACAATATGGACGAAAGCGATGTGCCCACACCCCAAGCCAGAAGCCAATTGAAAGATGATGACACGGTACCGACTACAGAAGACGACTCACAGAACTCCAATGGCAATGCCCTCTCCATCTCATCGGATCGTCGTCATGAGATCAGCATCATGATCGAAGAAGCAGGCTTTCGCAAAGATGTGTCACCGTCAGTCATTCGTCACAAAAAAAGCAGCCCTTCCCGCCAGTTGCTAGACCAGTTGCAAGCTGCCAATACACCCCGAGTCATTTCAAAGTCCCCGCTGTCCCAAGACAGCGTTGCGAAGAACGTGACGCCAACGCCGGATAACAGTGGAGATACGACTACGAGAGTCATCGATGAGGAGGTTATTCTCCCGCCGTCATCTATGAGTAGCATTCGCAGTGGTCGGCAACTCGACCCGGATGACTTTAGCTTCAATATGGGGGGCGACGATACACAGCTGATGAGCGACGCTGGTCATGGTTCTCCTTCTGTGGATGCATCGATTACGAGAGCTCAGGTCCGCACGCCAATCAGAGAAAATGACACTCCTGAGCCAAACTCAGGCGAAAAGTCATCTCTTCCGTCACTAGAGAGCCTATTCAAGACGGCCTCTCAACGAAATTCGCAGAAGAACACACAAAGCCCATCCAAGTCCCAGGTAACGTCGGTGATAGGATCGCGGAAATCCATTGTTTCTCGTGATGAGGAATACGAAGCCGCCATGCGCCAAATTGACGAGGCGGATGAAGACGACGAGAACGAGGTAGAAGCCGATGAGTCGCCCAAGGAACTTGGAAAGAGACGAAAGAAATTGTTCCCCAACTCGAGCCAGCCAGAGGGAGCGACTCTCTCTGAGTCGCCAGACTTGCCGGACCTCAAACCGACTGTCAAATCAGCGCCCTCATCCTTGATCGAGACGGAGGATATTAAGCCCCATCTGCTACGTGAGCGAGTCCGGAAAGGCTCACCATTTGTGGTTCCTCCTGGCTCGCAGGTAGTTACATTATCCTCTAGCCCGCCTAGCTCGCCACTGGAGGAGAATTACGCGGAAGACGATGTTGACGAGGACTATGAGGACAACAACAGCAGTAGTCTTCCGCATGGGTCCGGTTGGGTGCAGAAAAACAAGCCCTCCAAGGCCAACCCGCGAGCGAAGAGTGTGCCGGCAGCGAGAAGCACGGCCAAGACGGCGACTGCGGGTAGATCCGTTCCGTCGAGGTCTATGCCCGCGAGATCCGCCGTGAAGGGAAAGGGGCCACGCAAGTCATCGGCAAGGTTCTAGGAGATGTTGTCTGGTCGGGAGTGCTAGGCAGATAGTGGGGCGAGGCCTCTGCATGTGTATGTAATAGGGGGTCGAGAAGTTCTCTCGACATGTTTACTAGCTTTTTCTTGCTTTGAGAAATGAGGATACCCGTACCCGGCAGGGTACTCTGCACCAATGGAACATATTGTGCAAAAGTCAATGTCCGCTATTCATGTACGCCGTTCTTGCATAGCCTGCAGTGCAATCGTGCAAGTGGCCCATTTGATTGAAACAGGTTAGGTTTTATGGAATTCCAGACTAGTAGGGTGTAGATCTACGGATGTGCCTGCCGCTGTAGCATCGCGTTGGACCCTGTCGCCTGCATTTATTCCATGTAAATCACTCATGTGGGCGTCTTATCAGCTTCTGCGACGAGTCCCGCTGTACGGGCTGCGGATCGGGTCCGAGATGGACGGACCACGGAGTTTGAGGGTGGCCGATGGCCGAATCCGTGGAAATAAGTCCGCTGGTGGTCGGTGGTTGGGACCGGCTGTTTCGCCGACTTGCGTTGAGCTGATGAACCTGTGCGTGCCACCTGTGAAGTATGTAAAGGATCCCTGAGTTTCGTAGTTCATCTTGACTTTTTGCTTTTGACGACGAATAAGCTTATTCTTGGCATTCGCATAAACTTTCACGTTTGCGAACCTTGTATATCGGCCAACGACAGGGGTCTATATCCTAACCAGACTGGACCATTTTGCCTCGCCAATTTACGAGAACATTATACAATGGTAACTGGCAAGGACGTAGATGGCGAGGAACGGGCTCTTTACCAGTGTTTCAGATGTCGACGCCGCTATCATCGTACTGAGCATCTTGCGCGCCATGTCAGGTCTGTACATACCAAGCAGAGGCCGTATACGTGCAGGGTCTGTGGGAAGGGGTTTGGAAGGTTGGATATCTTGAGAAGGCATGAAGGAAATACCCATGGTGGTAGTGGCGGTTGGTCTGAGTCTGAGACGGCGGTGGTTATCGTGGAAGGGGAGAGGGAGGAGGATGATGAGTTGTCGAGGGATGCCGAGAGAGTTAGGTCGGCGTGCCAGGCGTGTAAGGTTGCCAAGGTGAAGTGTTCTGAGAGGAAGCCTTGTGCGAGGTGTATTGGGCGAGGGGTCGTGTGTAAGATTGAGGGGGAGAGTTGCGTTCAAGGTGGTTTTGGTTCCGGTTTTGAACTTTTGGGCGAGCATCAGGACACACCAGAGGACTCCATGCAAACGCGGTTGAGTGGTCAAGAGACCTTCAACGAGACGGCGCCAGCGATGATGATGATGGACGACTTTTCCTTTAGCGCGGAGTGGAATATCGCGATGTCGGATTTATCGTACCTGCAGACTCGGTTCGATGCGATTGGGTCAGAGGGACCAGATGCCATCGCATCTGATGGGGCAAGGCTGGCACAGGAGAAGGAGAAGGAGCAAGAGCAGGAGCAATATGGCGGCATTTTTATGTCCATGTCGCCACCCATGACGCCCGAGAGCCACGCGACTGGATCTTGGGAACCGTCAAGCGGTGAAAACAGCGAGATGGAAAGGCCGCATCTCGCTGCGGACGAGGAGAGTTTGAAGGCCGGGGGAACACCGAGGACACCGGGGACACTTTGCTTCGATGGTCTTATTGGTGGAAATGGCGGCGATGCTGTCGGTCTATCCATCTCTCCAGTGGCGCGGAACGCCATTGTTGGTATGATCCTCGACAATACATCCCGTGCCAATGCTGGTCCTGTACTGGCTGCTTTCCCTTCGGTAGGGGCGCTTGATGCGCTTCTGGGGATGTATGCTCGCGACTGCTGGGGCACAGCAGCAGCATCATCATGCACTTCTTCGATGGCAGCGGCGAGGTATAGAATCATGGACGTGGTGCACCTCCCAACGCTACAGCTTGACCAGCAGAGGCCGGAGTTATTGGGGGCCTTGGTTGCCGTGGGCGCCATCAGGGCTGGTTCGACTGTTGCGACGAGGTTTGGGTATGCGATGCAAGATGTTGTGAGGGTTTCATCTTTTCGAAGTGTGAGTGTATTCCTCGGCATCCTCATGTGTCTCTTCTCAATTGTTGAGAAGGGAGGGGAATCTATTATTCCTTCCGCTGCTCAGTTACTAATGAGGTTGATAGTGGGAGAAGAACAACACCAATCTCTGCGACATCAGCCTATCCCAGGCTTTCTTCCTGCAGCAGCACGTCGCCTTCTTCAGTGGCATTCGGCGCAAAGTTGCATTTGCGGAAGCCTGTTCTGGGAGTATGCAGGTGATGATGAAGAACGGCGGGCATATTCAAGGGGCGATGGAGACTGATCAGACCCTCTGTCAACTCAAGAATCTTCACACCCTGGATGATGGGGCTCTTGAGGACGTTTGGAAGAGGTGGTCTGTCCGTGAGGCAAGAAGGAGGTTGGTGTATGCTACGTACATCATGGATAGCCATGTCGGGATAGCGCACGGAATTAGGGGAATGGCGAGATACGGGGACATGAGGGTTCCGTTTCCTGCACCGGGAGGGTTGTGGAGGGCTGAATCGGCGATCAAATGGAGAGAGGAGATGGTGCGGTTAATGCCCGGGTCAACAATATCTCTTTCCTCTTCTTCTGCCTCCTCCTCCCTATCGCCGTCTCTGTCTTTGAAGGACTTGATGGGCGATCCGACGCTAGTTGCTAGATCTTACACCACAGTACGGTGGACAGAGAGTTCGTCACTCTAGGCTTCTATGCTGGTCTCTGGGTGCTTGTTGAAGAATGTCGCCAGCTGAGGGCCATCAGCAGCCACGGGCAATGGAGCGCCATGGTCTTATCCTCACGGCGATTGGAGCTGGGTTCGATACTCAAACTGTTTGGGTCTTCTTCAAGAGCGGCGGGGTGGGCGGCGTCTCCTGGTGCGGAGATGATGTATGAAGTTCTTCATATGTATATCTCGACTTCGCTAGATGGGGATGAGTTGCGCGGTGCCGGTATATCACCGTCGCTATCGCAACACCTCCACGGCGAGTGTTCGGCAAACAGGGTTGATGAAAGCCCGGAGGACTGGAGCGCGGTTTGGAGAGCGGGTAAGGTTCTCCGTACAGCGAGGAGGCTCGAGCCTGGGACGTTGAGTGGGGTTTACTGCGTTTCTCTCCGGGATGCTACTGTTCTTCTCTGTCGATTTGGAAGGAGCATGTCTTTGCAGGAGAAGGCGGTGATGGAGCAGCATCGTCCAGGGTCGAGATGTAGTATTGGCGCGGCTACTGTGTTGGTGTTGGATGGAGAGGAGGATGTGCAAGAGTATCAGGTATTGGACAGGAACATCTGTCTTATGCTGCGTGGCACCGGAACGGAAGAGGATACTGTGGCGCTTGATGATATGGCGAGTGTGATGAGGTTGTCGCGAAGGATTGTTGAGGAAAATTGGAAGGACTTGAGAATGCCGGACGGTGTTGAGGAAGTTTATTGTTTGTTGAATGGTCCTGGGAAAGTGTCCGGTTCATGAGATGTTTCCGGGTAAGAAAGAAGGCAAGGGGGAAGAGGAACTTCCATTTGTTGATGAAGTATGCCCGCGTAAATGAGCAGGAACTTCGTATCGATACTTCTGATCCTTTGGCTGAAGGCGGCAGTTGGTAACTCGGCAGATTTCTGTGGACAGGACACCGATCGGCTTCACTCCACCAACCGGTCCTGTGTCCGAAACGTTTGAGTTGCATTGTCATTTACAGCTCCCTGATCATTGTTCGACTATGTACCTTACTACTTTATGTATCGAATTCCCCGGCATGTCCGTTTATGCTTGACACTTCCGAGATCACTTCTCCTGACAATACTTCTATTCCCTATACTACGTTCTAGCGCAAGTAGGTGTATTTATTTCTCGACAGGCGTCATGGAACAATCTTATCTGGATAAAACATCACAGGAACCATAAGCGAAGATATCATTACTATAGTTGACTGTATTTCCCCTCATAATCGAGTTGAATGAGGGATACGCAACTCAAACTTGAGGCCGCTCGTCAATCAACTCGTCGAGCCAGCGACTGAAACGAAATACGCAGTGCCTCCAGCCCTCTGTAGCTGCTTCTCCTCCACTAACCCAAAATTCATACATGTCTGATCAGTTGCGCAAAGTGACGCTAACGGCACCTTCGGAAGGTGGTGCAGCTGAGCCGAATCAGCTAGCTAGTCTCCGTACTAAGATCGCCGGCTCGGCTCTCCACCTCCGGATGACCCCTCCTAGGTGAAGGTAAGCAACAATCTTACGTCAACGTTATAATCCTTTAAGAATTTCTAAGTGACTGCAAAGTCTTACTAAAGTCCAGGTCAAGCGTTTTATGAACTACCCCAGCTTCTAAGGAAATCCTTGTGTCTGGGTTCTTGACTTACGCATATCTCCCAAGCATACTCGTACCTTTCACCAACATGACGTCTTACAGCAACACGCGAGATGAACGATGGAGGCTCCCGCCTCGAAGGACTCTTCATCCCGAAGAGAGAGACGAAAGGCTTCAGATTGGCATCATTGGAGCGGGTATTGGGGGATTAATGGCGGCTATCGCCCTATTGGAGAGTGGCCACGATGTCGAGGTGAGCCTATGAGACGAGATATGGTCCCCTTCGTCGAGAATCTACTTAGACTTTCGAATTCAACAGATATATGAGAGATCTCAGTTCAATAGCGAAGTAGGGGCTGCTATCTCGACGCCTCCGAATTCCACGAGAGTACTCGACTACTACGGATTTGACTTCGAGCGGGCCAGAGCCACCACCGCGGAGAAGGTATGTTCTCTCCTTCCTCCCCAGGCCCACGTACCTTGTGCAGTAAAGAGAGTCTTCAATTTTTGATTCTAATCCGTATGGAAAAAGTATATCTACTACGATGACCCCAACAATATTGACAAAACACGGATGGTGACGTGCACCGATTACACACCCAGATACGGCGCCCCCTGGCTGTTCTTCCACCGCGTCGATCTCCACAATGAGCTCAAGCTACTAGCCACGGAGCCGACACCGACAAGAAAGAGCGTTGCACGCTTACACCTCGGCGTCAAGGTGTGTGACATTGACATCGACGGCACAATTCACTTTGAAGGTGGCGAGAGTGTCCAAAAGGACATACTCATCGCTGCCGACGGCATACGAGTAAGCCTCATCCTATCCCTCCCTTGAATGAACTAAGGCAGACATTTAGAGTCTTTATAATAACTGATTTTGTGTCACAGTCCTCCTACATCTCAAAGGTGGTGGACAATGCCCCGCAGGCGCAGCACTACATGTCGATGCTCCGGTTGATGGCTCCCGTAGAGGACCTACGCGATGACCCGGGCGTCGTGGCTCTCTTCAAAGATGGCTTGGCTTCGATTCGTATCAGCTATGGAACCATGCGAAGTGCCGTTATTTACGGATGTCGAGGGTAGGCACTACCCAAGTCAACCCCCCCCCCCCCTCCCATGGTATTTCCCAGAAGCTAATAGGTTCACCGTCCACAGGGGCTCTCTACAAAATATCGGCTTGCTATATCACCCTGAACTTGCCATTGATTCAGAAGGTAAGTGACTCAAGGCAATTATACATATAGTGACCCTTTACTCACCTCTCGTTATCAAGGCAACGACATTTCGTCAAGAGAGGACTTTGTCTACAAAGTCGTCGAAGAATATCCGAAGCCTGTACAGTCCGTCTGCATGTAGGTCCCAAGCTTCCGAGCAATTCAAGCAATAGAAACAAGTCTAATTAAGCGATCTCGTGATTCGTAGCAATGCGAGAGGCGTCGGACAATGGAAGGTCTTCACCCGAAAGCCACTCGACAGGCTCGTCCGGGGCCGAGTGGTCCTTATAGGAGACGCTGCACATCCCATGCCCCCTGGTAAGTTAAAGAAGTACATCACAAGAAAAAGACGGCAATCCTTCTTAAGTCAGAGTACACAAAAGAGGCTGACGACCCCCAACCTTTTCTAGTCCGCGCGCAAGGTGCAGCCATGGCAATTGAAGATGCCGCCGCGTTGGGCGTGCTTCTCTCAAACATGACTTCGAAAGACGACATCTCGGCCCGTCTGGATATGTTTAACCAGCTGCGAGTGAAGCGCGTAGCGGCTACTCAGACTGCATCTTCGATGCACCAGTGGGATCCGACTCGTGTTTCCGAGGAGCAGAGACAATACTTTGACGGCGACGTCCCACGTAAGGATGCCCCCCTGAATCTCTGGTCCTTTGAGTCCGTGTGCTAATCATCGTTGTTTCTTCCCGGTAAATTTAGAGACCATAGAAGACATTGAAATATTCAGTTACGAGAACAGTGTCATTCGCGATGCATTTAACCTCTTGGAAAGGGCTTGAAGTGGAATTGGTAGCTTCCGGTGATTCAGGCAGGAGAGGCATGGTAGATGGACTTACATCTCGTAGGGTACCTTAGTCATTGAGGTAGACGATTCATCCTCTATTTATCCCAAGGCATCACACAGCCTGCGTGATCCCCTACCTTCCAAATGAATACACGAGAAGGGTATACACCCCCCCTCAAGTCCATTCCCATCACCAGCCAGCAGGCGCCCCCTTGGGGGTCAGGTCAAAACTGGCTGGGTGGTGGAGTGGTTGAAGTCCACGAACAGCCTAATCGGTGAAGGCTCAGAGGTCCCGAGTTCGAGTCGACAAAATCCCAGCATGTGCACCAAGAGTTGTAGCCCCCGTTCGCCACCGGGGGGGTGAACTCTTTTTAAGTTCTCTCTCTGTTCTGTTTGCTGCATAGTCTCGGCGCTTGTCATAACGATTTGAAGCAATTGAAGCATCTAGTCTGAGAGTCTCTATGTTTGAGTTAGGTGGCTATTCAAGGAAAGAACGGGATTAAGTACTTACTGTCTGCCTTGCTTGCAAATGCACTCCCAGGCTTTCAGATCCAGCAGGCGACATTGGGCCGCTCCCTTTCGCAGTGGGCGAAGTGACCCATACTCCAAGTAAATAAACCCCAGATCTCTTGCAAGCTCCTTGCGGAATCACCTGCGTCACGTGGGACTGGAAGACTGGAAAATAGCGCCGTGCTTTCCGCGATTCGCGTGACGCGTCGGGGTGTACCTAATGTGCGGTCCTTGCCAGAAGTAGCCGCTCTCAGAGATCTTCGGATTCTCTGATTCTCGAGCGTTCTTTCACGTGTGACTCCCGTCTGTTCAGCGACCGAGTCCTAGTAGTCGCGCCGAAGTGATTGAGGCACATTTGCCTTCTTCTCCCGAGACGGAACCGGGCTCATGATCCGTGTGGGACCCGGGCCCGGTCAGTCTTCCGGTCGCCAGTGGGGCCACGCTCCCGTACCTTACCTTATTCAAAGACGTATCCATCCCGAACGGAGGTGAAGAGAGGTATCGGGCACCTGTCCAAGAAACCCATCCTGAACCGGTTCGTCCCCAGTGACCCAAATGCTACATGTAGCTGCATTAGAGCCGTCTCCAATCCAGAGTCATCACTTCCAATAAAGCAAGAACCGCACCTCATCGCACTAGCGAATCCTTCCCTCCCCAAAAAACCGCACAGTGACCTCCCACCCAATCATTCCCCATCCCACACCAACACCTCCAAACACACGCAAATAAAAGAATGACGAGACACCACGCAACCCCCCCAATACCATACAATCACCAAAACAAGAAACATGTACAGTTGGCTAATTCGCCTTCTAGAAGAAGGCCACGGGGGAAATGGTGCGTGAATGACACCCCCACCAAGATGCCAAACGCGCTTTAGTCCAGTCGCATCCCCATCCATCCTCTGGAACGCGAACCCCAGTGACTCCTCCTGCATACCAAGCGCAGGATGGAAACCCTCCCAATCCACCACCACCTACCATCCATCTACCAACTGTTTTTGCTTCCCGCGTCACGACTCACCGTCCATCAAAATGTTCCAGGTGCTTCTCACCCCCCCAAAATTCAGTGACCACAATGACGAAGAAAGTGATAAAGACACAAACGTGGCCGGTCCAAATCTCATCCCAGACTTTATTTCCTTGTCTCATTGACGTTGACACTTCAATGTTCAACCACCCATTGTTCGACTAAGCATTCCAGCATTTTCTTCTAACTTTACACATACTTCCTAAACACCGAATAGCCTCAAGAAGCTATTCCTGTTCATTTCACACCTGATTTATATCAAAAAGAGAGCCGGTCTCACTCACCTCAACCACCCTTTCCTCATAATAACTCACTATCAAAAAAATCATCAACGACTTCATCCACCCAAAACCCACGATGCATCCCCTCTCCCATCTCCTCCTCTCCTTCCTCCTCCTCGCAACCTCAACATCCGCCCTCCCAGCAACACCAGCAACACCAGCAACACCCACAACCCCACCATCAACATCAACATCCTCACCAGACACACAACAACCTCCAATCCAACCCTTCCTTCCCACGACCACCGGCGCGGCCCTTCTCCCAACAGGCATCCCCGCCTCCCCACGCCCGAACCCGAACCCGAACCAGCCTCAGTCTCAGTCTCCAGCTCCATCACCAATCTACACAACCCTCACCCCCAAATTCCCACCCTCAAACTCCTCCTCAAACTCCTCCTCCTTCCCATCGGGGCATCACAACTCCACATCGCCCTGCGCATCAGGCCGACCCATCCGCCTAGGCCCAGCCCGCCTCCACAAGAAACCTCACAACCAAACTTCCACTCCTTCGCCGTCAACAAACACACCTCAAACCACCATCCCCGCCGAAGCTACCGCCGCTGCCGCCATCGCCGCCGCAGCAGCAATAGAAACCCCCACAGACTCCGGCCCTCGAAACTACGCCTCCCTCATCCCCCCCGCACCCGGCGTAACTCCCCGTCCGGAGCCGAACCTCGCCGAGATGGGATACTACCAGACGACGTACTACTCCTGCGCGACGCAAGGCACGTCGACACACTGCGGCTGGCACAGACCTATCATGGTCGCGCCCGCCAACAACGCTGGCACTGCCGTCGTGAACCGCAAAGCCGGCATCGGGGCGTTGATCGTCGCTATCGTTGTCGGTGTCTTCGTGGCCAGATGAGTTTGATCCGATGGGGACGGCAAATATAACCCACCTCATGGAGCGATCTTTCCTACCCGGCAAGCCCTTCACCGTTTTACGCTAAAGCCGGCTGTCGGCCAGGTTCTCGGGACTGACTGGTGGCGTCCTGTCCTACCCCCTGAACTTCCTCGGAGAAAATCCGACTAGCGCGCCTCACGGGGGGCTAAGACTTCCATGATACAAGCGGCAGGAGCCGTGGCTGAGGCGCCAGACAGATGTCGGGCTGAGATGCCCACGATGGTAGTAGCCTCGTGCGGCTGGACACAATGTCAAAGCGGGTGGGGGGAGGCGATGAGGGAGACAAAAGCTTAGCCTCCCTTGGAGCCCCTGACGAATGATGATAATGAATGATGATGAACATGACCGATTGACCCAGCTGGCTGGGCTAGTATGAACCAAATAGACAATCCACATGCCTCACGGCGATGATGCACAAAGGGCGGGTAAACCCCCTTTTTTTCCAAGGGGATCTGCTTCACGGGAAAGATGAAACGGACAAAGATGGGAACCGCAGATGGGCATTTTTGGACAGTTTCTTGTACATCATTTGAATACAGCTTATGAAGATAAGAAAACAAGAACATAAAAAAAAGGGAAGAGAGAAAGAACACTCACGACCTGCCTTTTTGGCCCCGCCCCAAAAAATCCCCACGTTCTTTTCTCTCACCTTCTAAAGCTCGGGTATTTCAGAACAACGTTGGAACAGAGAAACCAGAGAAACGAAAATGTTGGAAGGGGGCGAGAGGAAAGAACAAGCCAGCAGCCCGGGGAGAGTGAGAAAAACGTATGATGATATGTTGGAAAAGCCGCCGCCCCTTCTCCCTTCTTTTTGGCTCATCCTCCTGTTTCAGCCTTTCTCTCCGTCTTTTTCTCCATTTCAGCGTAGTTAAAAACGTTACATCAAGAGGTTTGGTTTAGTAAAAGAAGAAGAAAAAAAAAAAAGGTCTCGGCGTGAATGATAGAACTCCGTTGCTGCCGAAAAATGAATTATGAGGGATGACCCGCTCTGTTCTTCGAGGTAGGCCCCTGGCAGCGCGTCCTTGCAGAGGTATCTTTTCCTGTGTCCATCATCCGGGCCGCGGTGGGTGCTTGGACGGTTGTTGGGGATCTAGAATGTCCCCCCGTCGAATTCGGATCGGGAACGTTGGATGCCTCGGTACGCATTCTTTTGATGGGAACACGGATCGGGAAAGGTGAGATGGGGTAGAGAGGCGGTGGGCTTGGTGGAGTTGCCGGTGAGTCGGTGAATCGTGAAAGAGTCGGATCGATGGTGGATGAGGAAGGCATTCGCCGCTTATCTCGTCGTCTACTTCTTGGCCGGGGCAGGCGGTGCCTTGACGTTGTTGGACAGCCAGGCCAGGCCCTCGAGCAAGCCCTCGCCCGTCGTCGCGCAACTGGGCACAACGTACCAGACCTTGTCTTTCAATTTTGAGAGGTTCAGGGCCTCGGTGACTTCTTGCGGCTTCATGGCTGTGATTGCGGTCACGCATGGTCAGCCCTCCAAACGTGTCCTGATGAAAAGAGCCAGCGGGGCAGAGCCCGAGCCGTTGGGCGATACGGCCGCCCACTGGAGTCAGGGGTACCAAGTGTTTAGACTTACCTCCGTTGACGTCCTGCTTGTTGGCAAAGACCAGCAGCAAGCTGTCCTTCATTTCGCGATCGTTGATGATCCTGTGCAATTCCGACTTGGCCTCCTCGATTCTCGCGCGATCCGACGAGTCAATGACGAAAATAAGACCCTGTGTTCCTGTACGAGGTAAAGTGACATCGTCAGCACAACTTAATCACATAAAGAACATACTGCCCTTGGAGGGTGGGGGGCATGATGGAGGAGGAGAGCACAGGACAGGCAAGAACTGACCGCTAAAGTAATGTCTCCAGAGGGGACGGATCTTGTCCTGACCACCGACGTCCCAGACGTTGAACTTGACGTTCTTGTAGGTAACGGTCTCGACGTTGAAGCCGACGGTGGGAATGGTGGTGACGTCCTGGCCGAGCTTGAGTTTGTAGAGGATGGTGGTCTTGCCGGCAGCGTCGAGACCCAGCATCAGCAGGCGCATCTCCTTTGATCCGAAGATCTTGCCCATCATCTTTGAGAGTTGACCACCCATTGTGACTACCGGGGGTTTGTTATCGTGGGTTTCGTGGCGGTAGGGGGCGAGTCGGTCGGTCGGTGCTGTTGTCGAGGGTGGGAGGGGTGGCTAGCTGTGGTGCGGTGTCAGGCTTTAAGGGGACGTCGTCGCAACGTATGATGACTCTGGATTTCCTCGTGTCCAAAACTTCGGGGACGACGGACGGGATTGACAGTCCGGAAGGTGTCGCGCGCAATTGAATCCCAAGACGCGGCGGTCGTCGGGGTGGGAGAGGTTCAGGGGTTGAGCGAAGGGGATTTTGCGGGAGAGAAGGAGTGTGTGGTGAATGGCAGAAGCTATCACAGGTCACAGGAAGAAAAAAAAACGAGCAACTTTGCGATTTGCTGGTAAGGTACCTAGGGTGGTGGTGGTGGTTGGTGGTGCAGGCGCTGTTACTACCTGGTCGGGGATCGGAGGTTGGGGGTCGAATGGAGTTGGGCACTTTCCACTTTCCACTTTGTAGCGACCGGGCAGCCTTTCGTTCGCTTGGGCGTTGCGTGGGACGTTGGCGTCTGGACGTGAGGTGGTACGGAGTACACCACACCGTACAGGTACCGAGACGTGTGTCAGTGAACTATGAAGGATGGCTAGGAGACAGATGCAGCAGCAGGGAGGGAGCAACGACGCCAAGACGGTATCGAAACGGGCCAATGGACAGCTATATCTGGGCTGTGATTAATGCTAGCCGTCATCCGAAACGAAGTGAGTGCGCTCACTAATGTAAGGAAACGTACAGAGTAAGGTCAGGTACGGATACCTGCTTGTCAGATACTTTAGTACAGATACTTTAAACCATCCGTGCTTCATTGGTATGAGAATACCTGCAACCTGCCATGCTACAGAATATTGGCTGCTAACTCCAGGTATGAGGCATGAGCGCGCGTACAGTCTACCTCCTTTGCAACTTATCTGACAGAGACCGGACCAGATCAGCAAAGAGCCGTCTTGGGCTGTTGTCTGGAATACCTAGGACGTGGGCAAGGGCAATGGCAATGGGCATATGCGGCTCAGCTTCTCATGCGTTTCAACCGTTTGCCCACCAGCTGGTCAGTGGTGACTGGTCAGGCGGGCAGAACCACAGACCGAACCACAGACCATCAAACACTCCTCATCTCATCGTCTACTATGGGACCATGCCACTCACCATGGGTAGTTACATCAGCAATTCAATTGCTCTTTCTCTCAAGTTGCCTCGGGTTCGTAACCTGAACCCTCTCTGAAGCGAAGCGGGAGACCCAATTGGAGGGAGAGGAGCCGCATCTGTACGAAGTCATCCGTATGGATGTATGGATATTCGCAATCACGTTTAGATGGAAATATTGATTCTCGAGCAATGCAGCGCTCGCTCCGGGGCGCATGCACATTGCACATGACATGACAACTCCAGCAATTCTCTCAACGGCAGTTCCACATCAGTCATCACCATCAACAACAACAACAACAACAACAAACGCAGACCCCATGCCTTTTCCAAAGCTTTTTATTGTGGAACATGACGGCCTCTCCTTCTCTTCCTCTCTTCCTCTCTCTCTCTGCGTCTCTGTGTCTCCCTACTGGGCCCTTGGCCCCCTGGTCTATCCATCTTAGGCAAGGTACGAGTAAATAAAAAAAGACACCAGTTCTCGGAGATTCAGACGCAGGTCCGCGGGTGCTTTCAGGTACGTACCCGCTCCCGCTCCCACACCAGAACATCTCCAGTCCAAACGGAGACATGCAAGCTGTCCTGGAGCCAATCAGCCAGCTCGTGTACCTTTTTTCGAGGTGGATCCCAAACAGCAAGGGCCCCAAGGGGTCTTCTTTCCCCATTTGTGTCCTTCAGGTTGCCTCTCTCTCCTCTCTTTCTTGTCATCTCTGATCACTCGACTTGCGATCTATCTCTTTTCTGCAACTTTGAACCAATTCATTACCCCCCCCCCCCTTCCCCCCATTCGCTCTTGATGATAAAATCTGATATCTTTCTAAATGACTTGATGAGACTACCTTGCCTACATGCCCCCAAGCCCCTTGTTATCGTGGCTGTTGCTCTAGCCAATGGGCGTATTTAGCGACCTGCAGGTACGGATACATAGTTACATACACCACCACCTCTCTCCATATCTACCTTGGCCAAGCTAAGTCGCTCACGGCATTCGAATAAAACATATGCACGTGCCATGCCGGAGTCAGGGGCCGAAATTTGACTGACACTTTGAAGCCAACCTTTCATAGTTTGATTGCAGCGTTTCCTTGCCTCGCATTTCAGTGCATGTACACATCCGCGTCGCATATCACGAGTGACAGACTCAAAAGCCACCAAACAAAGGATGACTCGTCTCTAAGGTATCTTACGTAAGACACTCGGGAGGATGGCTCAAAGCATGCAAACGTTCATAGTCATTTCCATCCGTACAACTAATGCTGCCAGCCTGTCACTCGTACGAATACCCGCTAGCTGCTACCCCTGCCTTGGATGGATAGTAAGCATGTTAAGTTCCGTTTCGACCCGCCATGTCATGTCCCCTTTGGTTTGTTTAATGAGACCTGGCGATAGATACACCAGATATCCCATGTCAGGGCCGTTGATCTCTCGGCCAATACACACTCTCTCAACTCAATACTTTAAGCGAGCGCCCGCTCATGGCTCTCGCTAACACTTCGCTAACGTCATGCACTTCCCAACTTGAGCGTTTGGGCCTCTCCTTCTCCGCATCACCAGATCTGCATCATCTGGTGCATCTACATCTCGGGGTCCTTGTCCTCTTGGGTTCAGGGCCGGTACTCCAGCACGTAGCGCCGCTCCACCTGATGCGTAGTCGATGAGTCGTTCTCGCCATGGAACTTGAGGTTGACTGTCTTGCCATCCGGCTCCGTGCCGACAACGTCTGCTGCGTAAAATGCCGTTGTCTGCGGGTAGAGCCCGAGGACCATCCTGCCCGCCTCCAGCTTAGCGAGATTGTGCGTCTGATTCTCTGCCGGGATCGGTATCATGCCCGAAGCAAAGGTCTTGTACTCCTTCGGCTTGACGTTGTCCTCCGGCTCCACATCCAAGCACTTGTACCGCCGGCTCTTGCCTTCGCCAATGACGCCGACAACCTCACCTAGTATCCAATCATACGGTGCTTCACCCTGCTGGGGCTCGTCTTTCTTCCGTTTGAACGCTACCTTGTCCCCTTTGGAGAACGATATCTTGCTTCGAGCTGCAGAGGAAGCGCTCGACCCTAGGGCACCTGATGATGAGCCTGCCGTGTTGGAGCCCGTGGAACCCTGCGGCTCGACGCTATCTGCCTTGGGCGGCATACTGTCGCGGTTGCTGCCCCGATCGCCGTACTTGCGTGAGCTTCCGCCGATGGGGCTGGGCACCGGAGAGTCGCCGGCTCCATCAAAGTCGTAGAGTGCTGCCGCGGCGGCGTCCCGATTGCGGGTCGAGCTGCCGGTCCGTGATGAGGCGCCGGTTGTCGCTGGGGCCTCTGCTGCTTCCTTGGCCTGCTGCACAGCCTTAAGGATTTTAAGTTGTTCAATGAGGTTCTTGATGTTGTTCGAGTTGTTCTCCGACAGCTTGACACCCGAACGGCAGTTCTGCTCCATCTTGTTAAGATCGCTGCCTGATGGGTTTCCACCGTCCATGCTGGCCATGGCTGCCTTCTTGTCAAGCTTTAATAGCTCGGCCAAGTTGTCATTCTCTTGGTTGACGCCGTTTACAACCTCGTGGAACTTCTCCTTTGCAGATTCCCATAGCTGAACCTCTTCGCCATGACCGCTGCCATTGTTGCGATTTGAGCCGCGGCCGCTTCGGTTTCGCTGGGACATCTTGGCTTGCAAAGACTCCAAAGGGCTGGGCTGGACCTTGGGCGAGTCGCGCTGCTTCTAGGTGGACTCGTCGCGGGCAGCCGGAACAGAAGATGTGCTCGAAGGTATGCTCGAAGGTGTGCTCCCAGGCTTCGGTTCGGTAGTGGTAGGCTTCTTGCTTCGACCACTGCGAAGCGGCTGCTCAGCTTTGGCTTTTCGTTCCTGTGGCATATTGATATCAGTCCTGGGGTTAAGCCGATGATGGAGATGAACAGTATGGGTGTAGAGATGATGAGGTGGAAGAGGAAGAGTAGAGAAATGCAGAAGGGGGGAATTGAGGTAAGTAGGTGGAGGCAAGGTGACTAGTTGCAGACAGGGAAAGTGATCACAAAGGCACTTACAGGGAAAGCGCAACGTTCACTTGGTTGTTGCTCCGCCAGCTGTCGCAGGAAGGTCGGGGGGTCACGTTCAGTTCCAAAGCTAGAGCTTGCCTTGAGCTCCTTCTCTCTGGTGTTGCGGGGGTATCTAGGCGCAAAGACGCTATTTAAGGAAACATGAAAAGAAATCGACCAAGAAAACTTAGCACATGACGCGACCAAAAAGAAAAGTCAATGATTTAAGCTTTTGATTTAGCCAGGTCTCTGAATGCCATGGCAATCAAGGTGTTTGGAGATGGGGGATGGATCATGGAGATGGTGATGGCAGAATGCGGGCGGTATCGGGCGACGCGCAGGAAAGCGGATTGCTGGGAGCTTCATTGGCTCATTAACGCGCCTGCTAAGACCTGCTGCTGCGATGCGCCACGGTGTTGTATAATACCGATGTGGGCCTAAGCGATGAGATACCTAGCATTTATCGCAAACCACAGCCAATCAAGACGGCATTCCTCAAATGGCCCTCCGCCCTGCGGCCCGACCACTTGCCCGAGGCCCGTGCTCCGACCTGGCGGGATGATCGTTTGGAGGGGTCCGGAGGTATTGGCTCCATCCTGCGGGGTCCCCCAAGTGAAGCTCTCCCTGACGTCAAATCTAATGGTGGGGTGAGCATACGCACTCCCAACTTTATTAGTACGACGTTGTCGTCGCATCTTTCCTCTCCCTTGGAACCTTTGTTCACCGTCTTCTTTCAATTGCTTTGAGCTATCTTGGCTCCATCACTTCAGTCGCAATGGTCCTACAGGTTCCTCTGTTCAAGCTTCAATGCGGAGTGAACTCCTATGAATGGGGAAAGAAGGGAGGGGACTCAGCAGCTGCGCGCTTTGCGGCAACAACACCAGCTGAGGGCTTCAACATTGAGTCGGAGAAGCCTTACGCAGAGGTGAGCTTAACCTAGTTCCTATGCTGACCCCAAGAATCCCATTGCTAATTGGTATTTGCAGCTCTGGATGGGCACTCACCCCTCAAACCCCTCAAAAGACGTGCAGTCTGGTCGCACCCTCCTCGAACTTGTTCAAGACAACCAACAACTCCTCTCCGCGCCCATCTCCTCTAAATACGGCTCGAAGCTCCCCTTCCTCTTCAAAGTTCTCTCCATCAACAAGGCCCTCTCGATACAGGCCCACCCCAATAAGAAGCTCGCCGAACAGCTACACGCTCGCGACCCCAAGAACTACCCCGATGACAATCATAAACCCGAGATGGCTATCGCCATCACACCATTCGAAGGTCTATGTGGATTCCGACCCCTTTCTGAGATCTCACACTTCCTCGCGACGGTTCCTCCCTTGAAGAGCCTGGTCGTCGAAGACAAGGCCAACGAGTTCATCAACACGGTCAAGGGTGAGGAGGAGACCGACAACCCAGAGACCAAGGATCGGAATAAGAAGGCTCTGCAGCATGCCTTTGCCGCTCTTCTATCTGCTACACCCGAGGAAATCGAGAAGCAGACGGAGAAGCTTGTCGCCCTCGCCAAGTCAGAAGGCAGCAATTTCGCCGCCGGCGGCGTAGCCACAACAGACGGCGAGACCCTCTCGGAGCTGATCCTCCGTAATCACGCCGAATTCGGCGCAGATATCGGCCTCTTCGTCCTATTCTTCCTAAACTACGTCAAGATGGAGCCCGGCGAGGCCATGTTCCTCGTTGCCGACGACATCCACGCCTACCTCTCCGGCGACATCATCGAGTGCATGGCCGCCTCAGACAATGTCGTCCGCGCCGGCTTCACCCCCAAGTTCAAGGACGTGCCCACCCTCGTCGACATGCTCACCTACAACTACGCGCCCATTGACGAGCAAAAGATGTCTCCTTCCGAGTACCCCTACGCCACCCTCAACCGCGCCGCCTACAGCTCCGGCTCCGCCGTCATCTTGTATGACCCACCAATTGAGGAATTCAGCGTCGTCCGGTCGCTGCTGAATGGCGACGGCTCCAAGGTCACCTTCGAGCCTATCGAGGGTCCCAGCATTATCATCTGTACTTCTGGAAAGGGCACTATTTCCGTTGGCCCAACGGTGCAGAAGATTAGCGAGGGAAACGTCTTCTTTGTCGGATCGACGGCGGAGTTGGTGTTGCAGTCCGAGGGCGACGATGATGACGAGTTTGTCACATTCAAGGCGTTTTGCGAGATTGAGGAGAAGCCGGAAGAAAAGCTGTAAAGAAAGGGACTTTTGCAGAGATGCCAGCGCGCACACTATCCACGTTGCCCCCTGTGTTTGAGACGAGGGAGCAAGTTGTTCATACCCAATATCCATATGAGAAGCCCACGAAGAAAAGCATCATGAGAGAGGTTATTTGATTTCTACTCGATTCCTGCCCATCGTGCAATACATCAGCCCGATTCTGGCAGGGGCTCTTGTCTCCGACGCCAGTGTCAATGAATGCTTCTTAGGCCCGTTGGCTCTTCTCTCTGATCAGATAGCCCATGCTGTAGGATCCCCCGCATATTGCTCTGGGGACTCTCATCCTTTGGTTACTGGGAGATTCATGAGCAGGACATACGAACGAATGCTTCGGCGTGATTCAATTGGCGATTCGTTGAGGGACCAGTCCGTTTTTGGTGATTTGGTAAATTATACTCACCCCATGCCTACATGTATGCTACACCTTACGGCTTGCTGTGGCTGGGAACTACTAAGGGAAGAAAGAGCAACAGAAAAAGAACTCAGCCAGTCCAACGCCCCATGATGCCAATAGGCAACATGATGAAGACCAAACAATGCCCCCTGATAAACCTCAATTTTTTGATGAAGCACCATGCCCCAAAGCTCCCTGACCCCATACCCCTCAGCCCCCGTTGTCCAGGTATCAATGTCCACCAATTCATACTAGCATTCTTTTTTGTATCGCCGTTTCCATGAGGTTCCTGTCATGAGACTCCCTCCCCGGGGATTTTGTAAACGTCCATCCGTTCCGTCACCCGAATGCTTTCCCCCAACACTCAACTATTACACCATTTCAATCAAACCGTAGCAGATGAGCGAGAAAACACAGGACATCAAAGGAAGATATGCAGACTGGTACAAGATTACCCAACGTAGACCACGCAAGTGCGATGAGGTACAAAAGATCATGAAAATTGAGGAAGTGACTGGGGGGAAAAGGTAATGAATGATGGATGTGTGAAAGTAGAAAGAGAGGATAATGACATGTATGTAGTCATGCAGTGTAGGATCAAGAACCAACAACATGGACGACCCCAAGAGACCATAGAATTTGCTCCCCTTTGGAACTCGAATCCCTCGCACATGACCCAAGCTGTACCGGAAACGGGGTGAAGTATCATTGAAGGAGAGGAGGGCGAGAAGAAGGCACTTCATCCTCTCTGGGAACACGAAAGAGGGGCCAAAGAGGGGAGGAGGTTCGAAAATCCCGTCGAGAAGTGTTGGTGCAATATTTGGGGAATCTGACTGCGAACCTGTGAGGCGGGAAATGGAGGGAGGGAGGGAACGGGACGGGACTGGACGGGTGTCAGGGGCGGGCGTCCCGGGTTCGGGTAGCCGCATCATGCCGCCGGGATCTCGAGGTGAGATCCTATTCGGCTTCTTGCCTCCCTCTCTTATTCTCGATGACAGCCACCATGCCACACCGAAAGACACGAATGCGTCCTGAGATGTCATTGATGGATGCAAAGGCCACATTGGGTAGTATTTTCCAACGGCTTCAGTCTTGGGCCCCCCCATTGACGGAAGAGATGGAACCTTTCTAGGCTCTCAAGTGGCCTCCGGTAACGGTATGTACGTTGGCGGCGTAGACGTCGTTATTGTCGTTGATGGCAATGGCAAGCAAGGCTGAGCCCACACACCATGCAGCAGTAGCAACGATGCAGCAAACCACACCCTCTTCACCGGGGAAGAAAGGAACCTCCAGTTCCAGTGCCTGGACTTGGGACAAAAGGTAAGCCATGTCTCGCTTCCTGCTGGCGAGAAATGGGGGGGGATGATGTGCCACCCCTGCCTGGCAACGAAAGCTTCTCCCCTGTAATGGCGCATTCTGTTTCGGCGACATACGAGAGGGGGAAATAAGGCTGTGGCGTACTCTGCTTCGACAATAAACGAACAGGAGGCGGTTTTTTTTCCTCAATGACAACCTGCATCTCTCATTCATCGTTGGAGTATGCATATGTTTCGTGTTGATGAAAGGCGTGCAGGAACCCAGGAGGTCGAAAGTGCGCCACGGGCTTACGCTGTAGGCTTTCTCACATCCCAGAATAGCATCTGGGAAAACGAATGCCGTTTCTGGAGAACCCGGTGACGTACCATTTTTTTTTTTCTTTCATACCTTGGGCTCGTATTCCTGCCTTCACCGACCAGGGGTTCCTTTCTCACCGGTTACTGTCATGGGATGTGTCTTCATTGGGCGAGAGTGAGTATCGGTAGCGTCGCAATCGTTGTTGGAATTGAAAAAGTGCAAAAAAGGAGTGGACGAATGGAACAAAAGCAATCGCGAAAAAGAATGTTGTAGCGAGCGGTAAACTGCCATTGCGAAAAGGGGGCCCCCGATTCCTTTGCTGGCACCACCAAGAAGTGAGCATCAAGCGCCTCAGCCGGCCGGCCGGAGCGCAAGGTTTCTTCCTAGGAAGCGGACAAGCCACCCGCAGGCCTACGACCCGAGTGATGGTGGCTGTGACCGTGACCATGGTGATGGCCGTGATGCTGATGATTATGCTGCTCGGCCGCGACCTCCTCAGAGAGCATATACTGCCCGATATGATGCCGTCCATGATGACCCACGGAAGCGTACATGCCCGGCGGCTGCGTGGTGACGGTATACTGCTGCCCATTGGAAAGCGAGCCGCCTCCGCCTACGGGCGTGGCAGAGGACGAAGAGGAGGTGGAGCTCGTAGTCTCGCCGCTTCCGCGACGGCCGCTGCCATCCCTGCTTACCCCCGACGGCGCGGTGGACGAGTCGGTGTACTTGTAGCTCAAGTCGGAATCAGACGCTGATCGGAGACTCGTTTCCGTGGCACTGAAGATGGGCTCGCTGCCGCCGCTCGTGGTCGCGGACGGCGGGTATCCCGCCATCTCGGCGGCGTGGGAGATACGCTGCTGCTGCTGCTGCTGCTGCGCCATGGACGGGACGGTGTGCGAGGGCGGAGGGTACGCTGACACGGGCGACGTCTCGAAGCTTCCTGAGCCGCTGGGGCCCGAAGTAGTGTAGCTTGTTGTCACGTCTGAAATTGGGGAGGGCTGAGACGTCGGGCTACCCGAAGACTTTGTCGATGTCGATGCCGTAGAGGACGAGGTAGGGGCGGCGCCTTCTGTACGGTAGGCCAGGACATTGGTATTGGCGACAGGTTGACGCGTAGCCGGGTCAGGGAGTCGACGGTCGCCACCGGCCGGGGGCAAGGACGCGGCGACGCCGGTGAAGGAGAAGTTCTGATTCTCGCTTTGCTGCTGCACCGCTGCTGCTGCTGCCGCCGCTGTCACGGCTGCGGCGGGCCGGTGGGGAAGCTGCGTGACAGCTCCGGCGTTGCTGCCGTAGGCGTATCCCGCCGCCGCTACAGCGTCCGCCGTGTTGACGTACAAGTCATCTGCGCTCGGTGCCGCTGCGGCGACCTTTGCGGTGGGGTTTACGCGGTAGTAGTAGCTCGTATCCGAGGGCTGCTGGTAAGAGTACGGGTATCCCATGGAGGCCACCGCGGCGGGGCTGTAGTCCACGGTGTCGTCTGAGTAGCCCGGTGTGGCGGACCAACTGGGCATCGTCGCGGGCGATGCGTAGTACTTTCCGCCGTAGTAGCTGGCTGATGTTGACGAGTAGCGGGGGAGGCCGTCGTGGATATCGGAGGTGTAGTGGTGAGGCGGGGACGAGTTCAGGGGTGAGGCCATGGCGGTGTGGGCGTATGCTCGAGCAGTTTTGAGATCGTATGTGAATGTTTGATCGGTAGATACCCACGGAGCTTCTGTTGAGGCGACCTTTGGGGATCCGTGTCAGTCCGGAACTCCAAGGGGGTAGGCAGCATCGAGGCCCCAATGGACGTTGTTCGACTTACTCGTAAAAACATACAGGACTCGTTGCCAGCGGCCTTGCAGTTCTGGCATGGAAGTCCGTTGCCAGTGTCTCCGCTGCAGCGGATCTTGCGCTTCCGGCAACGGCCACACTATCAATCTTGTCAGATCTTTCTTTTTTTCTCCTTTCACCATCTTTGTTATATCAAACAACGGTCATGCAAGTTATCTTAATTCATACGTCCTCTAACAGTTGAGTCGAACCTTTCAAGGATTGAGACTTTTTGAAACAGAGACCTACGTGAAAGGAAATTGACCAACAAGAAATGTAGGGCATATTCAAGCCAACGGAAAAGGAGTGGAATAATCAAGAAAAAAGAAAAAGACTTACAGCGACGGCAATGCGCTTGCGGGGAGGTGTATCCGTGTCAGTCTCTCGTTCAGCCATGTTCGATGTCCGCGCTTCTGAAGAATGCGAGTGATGTCGTTGCTGCCGTTCCGGGTAGACGTATGTCGGGTCGACGCGGCTATATCGTCTCCCATCCGGGTAGTATGCTGGGTTGACCATCGTTGCTGTGTTCGCACAAATGATTAATTCGTTCTTGGATGACCTTGCTCTAAAATCAAGACCTAAAGACGTAGCGAGGAGATAAGGTAGTGTAATAGACGATGACGATGACGATGGGGGTGGTGGGCTTCGATCGTGTAGCAATGTCTGATGGTGTGGGCAAGATTTACCGCGCTTGTCACAGGAAGCGAGAGGCTGGACTGGGCTTTTTTGGATTGTTTCTTGTTTCGGTGTGTGTGGTCGGTTTTTTCTTTGGGGAGATGGGGGATTGGAGAGATGTTGTGCTTCGCGTTCGTCGAGGAGGGGGGCAATAAGCCTTTTTTTTTTTCAATGCTGCTGATGCTGATGCTGATGCTGTCGTGACCAGGCGTCAAGGCCCTTGTCTCGTTTCAGAGAAGGACGGGGGACGTCGTGCTTTGCTTTTTCTTTCCCTTCTTCAGCAAGTCCGATTTCCATCAAGACTAACTGGGATGGGGCCTGTGTGATGTGCGTAGGAAGCAGAGGTAGAGGTAAAGGCAGAGGAGTTGGGAGGAGGAGAAGGAGAAAGGAGGAAATAAGAGGTAAGTTATTGGATAGGGGTAGATCTTGTTCTTGTTTTCTCCCCACGCCTCCTTGTAAGACGTTGCTCTCTTGAAGAAAGAGGAAAGTGTTGAGACAAGTCCGCTGATGGGATACCTTTCCCAGATGTAGAGATCTAGCAGGGCCAAAGAAAAGTTGGAGACTTATTCAATGTTCCCCATGAAAGTCCGGAAAAACAAAATCAGTCAACAAGAGGAGGCAATGACCTGAGCCGGGCTAGCTTATGAGGGAAGATGGGGAGAAAAGATTGATAAACCCCCGGATTAAAAAGAAAAGAGAGGAAAATAAAATAAATAAAAAACACCAACGAGAAAACACACTGAAAGCAGCTGCAGCCGGCGAATGTTATACATCCTGGTCTTGGAGAACGCATCTTTTGATTCGGCAACGCAGGACAGATAAACTTGGTTGTTCTTGTGTTTGCACCGTTCCTTCAAACGTATCCACACCCTCCTACTATCTGTCCAAAATACTTCCATCAAAGAGTCATTTTCCACATCTTGAAGATTCTTTTCACACAGTTGACTTCCCATGGATATGAAAATCAGGTCATTTGTTCTATACACCCCCCCCCCTCCCAATCCCCCCTCTCTCTTTCAACATGAGCGCGTATCCCTTCCCCCCCCCCCCATGGAAGCTTGCGGACCACACAGACACGACATCTGTCATCGGACGGGCGAGGGAAGACAAGGCTGCTACAGCATGGGTTTTTTTTTTTTTTGGGGGGGGGGGGGGGGGTCCCTTGAACTAGACCGAAGCAACTGAGAAGCAGATGTAGTGTAGATTTGCCTACATTAACAGATGAGAAGAAAAAGAGACTCATGTGGTGCTGCAGTAGCAGTAGCACCGACGCCGCGGGAAGCGGCAGAAGACGCACATTAGAACGGGGGAGAAGGAGACGTCCTCACTTCGGCTCTGGTAGTTCAGTGACAAACAAGCATGGCCTAATGGGGTGGGTGGGGGGATGGGGAGTACTTAGGGTGGTAGAAAGAGAGAAAGAGAGAGCCTCTACGACCAACACCCCTCCACTCTTTTTCTCCAGTGCCTCCTCCATCAATGCGTATTGGGGGGGGGGGGTTACATGTACTTTGGGGCTGGAGGGACGGGACGTGGAGAGCAAACGGAAGAGGGGCGGCGACGGCGGAGGGTGAGGACGAGGGGCGGAGCAAGGGGGGCCTAGTCCTGCGTTGGAAGATCTTGTAGGGCCAGCCGGGAGGGAAGGTCGATCTCATCTTGGGTGTATCTTGGAATCTTAATGAAAAGAAAAAGGGTCTGGGGTTCTCGGGGGCTAGGCCAAGCTGGACCCGAGAACCTCGTACCAATTGCAGCACAGCTCATTGGCAACTTGAGGGAAGAGGAAATGACAGTGTGAGAAGAACGGTCTTAGACCTTTTGAGACTGCATTGGTTTTCTCAGCCGTAGATGATGACTTGGAAATCCCTGCACATCCAATCAGACTGACGTTTGATATTCGTCTTGCTTGGAGAAGCGAGACTGCTTCTCCTATATTATCACCACCATTTCGTAAGGACAGTTGCCTTCCGCTGGGAATCGAGACATAATTTTAGAGATTTTGGGAGGAGGCAAGCGTCCCAATACCGTGAGTACATCAATTCCTCAACGTACCCCCCACGCGCGTAAGTCCTATTGCCGAAGAAAACTGCTGAGTTGTTGTGTAGCAACCGAGACTTGTATAAACGCTCGGTGCAAGTGTGTCCAACGGAGAAGACAACATGTATTGGACGGATGATCCTCCCACGATGACGAGGTACATGTATCATGGGAACAACAGCCAGGCTCTCTGTTTCCTCCCAACAACCGCTTTATCTTCTAAAGATTCTAGACTCACCAGTCGTCGACAGAAAAGAGTGGAATACGGGAAGGGGGGGCACAGAATAATAGAAGTAGCATCTGCTTTAAGCAAAAATGCGTCTGGAATGGGAATGGTGTCTTTTCAAAATGACACCGAAGAAACCGACATGACAAACACTTTTTTGCTCGACCATCGTCGGGCAAAACGTCCGTCTCGGTCCCACTTGGAGGGTGCAAACCATGGACACATGATCGTGTGACCCTGACGCGATAACTAATGGATGGAAAAGAGCAGAACCATCATCAGCGAGAGATTGGGTTGTACCAGGGCAAGTCACACTTTTGCCCCAGTTCATGTACACCAAGGCAGTATCTGGGGTATGAGTATTGGAAAATACTACAGCAGTAGGAAGGAATAACATGAGAGATACGGCAAATGATAGGAAGAGAGCGAGAGACAAAATGCACAAAGCTGAGGGTTATGTGACGCAAGCCATCGTCAGTGAATACGCTTGTGGTGGGTGTCGCTGTCCTCTGGTGTCACACTACGGAAGCGGCTTTTGCTGCAACACACACAGTTCAGGATGATAGAACCGAGAGAGCCAAATGCAGAAAAAGACAGAGAACTGGCCGAATATCCCTCCAGCCAAAAAACAACGACGACAACCCCCGGGACGAGCCATCAAGCGGTACTGTAACTACCGACTGCCACTTGGCGCCCAGTCAGAGTGCGACACCGCCAACTCGCTGAAGAAGAAGAAGAAGAAGAAGAAAGAATATTCAAGGAAGAGGGCCAAGAAAGACTCAAAGGCCGAAAGCAAGAAGAAGCGAGAGGAAAAACAAAAAAGCAAGAAAAGCAGGAAAATCAACGGTGTTGCTGCTGCAGGCTTCATGCTGCATGGTGCGTGCAGCGGTTTCGTTCGCCAAACATCTCCCTGACCGGCCGAGAAAAGAATCCTGTAAGAAATGAGCATCTTGGAGAAACGGACCCATGGAGTCAAAGCTGCAACGCCCGTCATCTGCATACATAATTACAATCAACAAACTTGAGCCATCATTTGCCAGCCCAGTACCGGGAGGTTCCGCGAAGAATTTCCATCAGACAAACCGACACCCTCAGCTAGCGAAGAGATACGGCCGGAGGGATTCACAAGATATGCCCCTCCGAGACAGCTGGCGGCAGTCACGGTGTTTGCCTTGATCCATTGCAAAGTACTCTTACATTGGCAAAAGAGATGCATGAATATGGCCGCCAAAGACGGCCGCCCAAGGCCGCCTCAAGAGGGACCAGGAGGGGCGAAGGGGCGCACACCTGGCTCCGAATTGGGATGGGGAGCTGCCAAACAAGCCCATCTTCTGCTGTTGCGCCGTTGTACGGAGTAGCTCTGGAATTTCTTGAGCCAGGCTCGGTGTGCAGAAGCACCCCCTTCCCCAAGCCTCGCACTCTTCCTCGTGGCAGATGAGGTGTCTTCCTGCACGTTTCTCAACTCGCGCCCTCGCTTGTGCTGCAACCTGATCGTCCGCGACTTGGCGACCGGGATTTGGTTGCCCCCCCCCCCCCTCCACAACGTTGCAGTTCCGGCCGCGGCCGCGCCTCTGCTTTTGGATAAAGATAGCGGGAAGAGCTTCGATACACGGCACGCGGAGGGGGGGTTGAGAGGGAAACAAGGAAGGGACAGAAATAGCAAACGGGCCGCTGAGGCACAGAGCGATGGTGGGATGTGCGCGTGTATGCGTAGTAATGTGTCGGTGTGTGTGGCTCTGATTTCCCTCCTGCACCTGCTTTGCCGTTGTTGCTTCGCCCGTGGGCGGCCAGCTGGTGGTGCATGCCCGTTGACGTGAGTCCTGTACGAATAGGTAGGCATGTATGCTATGCCTCTGCCTTCTCTTGACGCAATGCACTCTCCTCCGCCCGCTTGCCGCGAAAGGCCCCCGCATCGGAGGACGGTTGGTACCTCGACGTTGACGGTGTTGGCGATGAAGGGTTTGAGAGAGGGAGAGGCTGCAATGCTACATCGTCCGATATCCCCGTGCATTTGAATCAGGGGTAGATGTCCTGCTGCAGGAGTTTAAGTAACTAAAAACTCGCCCGGCGTGGCGTCGTCGTTCCCAATGGTCCTTTAACAACCAGGAGAAGAGGATTCTGTCAGGGATGCAAAGCCCATGCTCGAAGCCGACGGATCCTATTCTCCATCGTGATCCTAACGTCCGTAATGATGCGTTTCTCAGGGGTGATTTTCGATCCGTGTAAGAAGCTTCTTTTGCTTTTTACCGTTGGTTTTGACATGCTGGTGGGACTGGAATCGTCAAGCACAGATTTGCCGCCGTAACGAAGTCTTGTCCTGCCATCGTCTCACGGCGTGCAAGGTCAACGAGGTGCAAAGTCTCAAACCCATGAAGGACTCGTGTTTCCGCATGAGCTTATTGCCAAAGAAACCCTCACAGTGTTTGAGACATGTCCTCGCCTCGTCCATAACCGTCTGGAAGCGCGCAGGCCTCGCAGGATTACTCTCATCTCGCTCTCTTAGAGAAAAGTCTGCGCCGCAATTCCAAGACAAGAGAAACGAGCTGCCCTCGCTGAAACTCTGGGAGAGCAGTTCGTATCGAGA